TGGTGTGTCTACAATGCCTATCTCCTCCTTGCAGATCTAATTCTGCTCTTCCCAACTGAGCTCAGATTAGTTAGGCAACCTTGCTGTATACTTTGTGATATCTAATTGCATCTCCCATAAAAATCATCAAGTTTCCATCCCTGTGTCTGCTTCATGGGCTAGATTCTTAGGAAAGGGGTAACTTTTCAAATCTCTGCATCCCTTTGCATCTGTCAGAAGGACTAACCTGACAGGACTAACCTCTCTCTACCATTTGCCAGCTGCTCCTCTGAGAGTATCTTTGTTTATCTTTCCATGGAAGTTTTATCTGTCAAATTATAATAATGTCACTTTGGCTACAGATTATTGAATGCAATCATTGTAAAACATTTTATGGCTAATTGTAGTGCATTAAAAATGGTCACGGAAGCTGCCTGAATACAAATTAAACTAATCCATCTATAGAGCACCAATTAAATGATACATTTGTAATAAATAATTATTAAGATCTTTAGGCAGGGCCTTCCCTGGTGGTGCAGCAGGTGAAAGCACACCAGTAAGAAGCTAAACCGGCTTCAGCATGAGTTCGAACCCGGCCTGCCCTGGAAGGGATCCACATGAGGAGGCAGAGGCAGACCTGACCAGCCCGCTGCTCCCCTCAGCAGTGTACCTTGTCAATCTGCCTGTTCTGTTCCCCTCTCTGTCTCTGGTGAGTCCTCTCTCGCTGCCCCTGCACCTCTGGCCTGTACCCCAGTTCTGTATGCATAAATAAATCTTTAAAAAAAAAAAGATGTCTAGGCAGAACCTTCTTTTTCCCCCAACTTTTGTTTATAACTCAATTACAGCATTTATCAGAATTTTCCTAACATTAGAATGAAGTATGTAAATATCCATTTCCTCTCCCCCGGTAATAATAAGCTCAGGTGGGTGGGGACCAGGCGTTTTTTTCCCAACATGCTGTCTTCCACGCCCTACGGGAGAGTCTCACACTTAACGGCACTCACACACGTGGTGAGTCTGGGAAACCCAGCAATGAACTAAGCTGCGAGCTGTGCTGTATCTTCACCAGCAGACCTTCGGTTTTCCAAATTATTCCTTACAATGTATTTTTCAAATGTCAACTAGAGTGACCTGATTTGCTCCCGGTTTTCCTATTTCTGAGTAATTTATTTAACCTTTTACTGAGGAGGAATGACCTAGCCATAGGTCCTTTTTACCTTTACCTGGGACTTGAGCTCAAAAATAGGATTGAATTTTTGGAATTCAGTCTTAACCCTAGTCAGCAAGGAAATGATCAGAGCTCTTCTTCCCCCTTCTTTTCTAGCATCTCTTCTTGCACTGTCTCCAGCTGTGGCCCTACTGACAGAACGTAATGGGAGCCAAAAAGTAATGGAGAAATGCTGTTTGTGGAGTCTGGGCCCAGCTCAGCATTAAGAACAGAACACAGGAGGGAGAGGTTCGCAGACAATCAATTGCTTACTAACAGGCTCACTGATCTTTAATGAAGGCAAATGAAGTTTTTATACTGCGTAGCCTCTGAGCTGGTTCAATTTCAAACCAAATTTTCAGTCCATACAAGAACCAAATTTTCATTGGTGTTGAACAATTAGGAGGGGGTTTTAATTTCCAGGTTTGCTATTTAGTGGGCAGGGCTTTTGTTTATAAAGAAGAGTGAGTTGTGTCCAACGTGAATTGAAGAATTTGTCTTAAAAAAAAAAACCTCTTTTAAAATAAGAGGGGCAGCCAGGAAGAAGGATGGGGTTCTGGAAAGCAAAGTGAAATCCTCAGGAGATTAAATTTCTACTGTTTGATGGAAAAAGTGGTGCGAATTCCAGCATAAGTGCCATTTCACAATGCAAAGCTCTCCTATGCCAGAAAATCAACTGTTGCTAAGCTTCTCCAGTTTGCCCAGCACGGAGTACTGAGACACAGTCCTGATAGGTAGTGTGGTTTGATAAATATATTACACGTGCTATTTTGCTGAATCCCACACACAATGGCGTCAGTCAGTAAACAGGGGTAGAAAACACACCTCCATACATTCGCTTCATGCCTGAAAGACAAGCACATTTAGGAGAAGACATCTGGACACACAAAAATTGAACAGTGCTGGCAGCCCATCAAAACATGGATTTAATGGGTTGGCGTCTGGTTTCTAAGCAACGTGCTTCTTACATTCAAAACAGAGTTGTAAAAGTAGAATCCTGAGCCCCGATCTGGGTATTTCTCATTGAAATAAAAAGCTAGCCATGCAAGTCAATGTCTGATTTCTATAGATAGAAGAGCTCATGTCATTTTTTCTTTAGTCCTCTTGTTTTCCACATTCTGAAGTATTAGGCAGAGATTAACATTGCATTTTGAGATTACCTCAGATGAATACGGCATCAGGGTCTTGGAAATTTCTTCTCAGCCCCTAAATTAATAGCACTCTTTAAAATGAGGTGCATGTAATTGTAATGCACATGCTTTTCAAATATTTTGCTCTTAGCAAGTTAGATATATATATATACCAGAGGGTCAAACACCAACTAAATGAGATTTGCTCTACTAAAAGTCTGCTTCTGCTTGGCAAGAATGCTAGGGAGTCCAGTGTAAAATATTTTCCACGTGAAAACTGGCATAAAAAATATTATAATATTTATTGAAGTCAAGCCACACTGTTAATTTACTTCTTCCTTGCTTTTATCTATTTAATTGTACTGGTATGTTTCAGAGTTTGGCAAATAGGAATTATTAAACTACCTCATCAAAAACAAAATCTAGAGGCCCTCCCTGGTGGCACAGCGGGTTAAAGCACAGCACTAAGAAGCTAAAACCACTTCCACATGAGTTCGATCCCCGCCTGCCCCGGAGGTGACCACATGGCGTGGCAGACCTCTCCTGACCCGCCCGCTGTTCCCCTCAGCAGTGTACTTCATCGAACTGCCTGTTCTGCTTCCCACTCTGTCTCTGGTGAAGCCTCTCGCCGCCCCTGAGCCTCTGGCCTGTGCCCCAGTTCTGTATGCACAAATAAATAAATCTTTAAAAAAAAAAAAAAACAACATCTAGAAAAGAGCAATAACCGTTTTTTTTTGTTTTTGTTTTTGTTTTTTCCTGAGAAGCAATTAGGAAAACTATGGTGCAAGAGGTAGGGAGTAATGGAGTTTTCTATTAATTTCTATTTATTTGAGAAATTATGGAATGTCTATTTGTCTTCAAAAAAAAATGAAAGCAGACTATTAAAATGACCTCCTCTTTGGAGGAATATGGCTATAAAAGTATTTTTTTTCCTCTGTCTTTAGTGAACTTCCTTCCATAAACTCTCTGAAGCCTCTTTCTTGGCAGTCTCCAGTGATGGAGCAAAGCAAGAAATAGACTTGGAAAGTTACTTACAAAAAAAAAAAAAAAAGTCTTGGAAGCAAGTAAGAAAGGATAGTTTTACAGGAGAACTTCACTTCATAGGGAAGGCTACAGAACGAATGTTCTTCCATTTCAAAGATGAATGTTGTGCAGAAAAATTAAAGGATGGTTTCCAGAAGATCACTTAACCAGGAGAGATTTTCCATGCACAGATCTGTGCGTTGTGAGACTCTGAAACTGCTACCCTCCCAGTTTTTGTTTACATGTGGTTTACATTTATGTCCACCTCATGAGCCACAAGTGTTTTTCTGCTCCAAATGTATCAACGCTTTTCCTTCCTACCCAGAGTGCCTTAGTAAAAATAGGAGAATTAGGTGGTGGGGCTGTGTGATTCTGCAAACTTCTGCAAGCCATCATTTCCTGTCCTCGCCTAGTCCTGTTGCCTCGATGCATACCATGATTTTGCACAATGTTGCAAAGATCTAAGTCTTCATCTCTCCTGGATAGGTCTCAAGCACTTAAAGAATGAGCTTTAAAAGTCGATTCTTACCAGATATCTAAGAGACATGACTGAAAACTGCCAATCAGAGCAGAGCTGTGAAAATGAAAATGAGACTCTGGGCAAGCCAGGCACAAGTCCAGCTCAGTTCTGTGTCTGAATGTCACACTTATGTGGTGGTCTAATGTCACACTTATGTGGTGGACTGTGCATATAGAGTGTCCCTCCCAGAATCTCTGGACCTATAAAGATCCATTTCTTCCCCTCCCTGTCCCATCTTGCTTAAAAGAAGGAAATTCTGGGAAAACATTCCATTCTCATGTTTTGATTCTTTGCCCAGATCTTTCTGCACTGGGGTTTCGGAAACATTCATCCCAAATCCAAACATGCAAGTTGGATGTGACCTTCACTGGCCACTGAAGAGGAGGAGACAGCGGCACTGCTGGCCATGCTGGGCAAAGAAGTCAACCAGAAGTTGACTGGGCAAAGAAGTCAACCAGAAGTTGACTGGGCAAAGAAGTCAACCAGAAGTTGCTAAGGACCGGCGCAAGGTTGGGTTTCTATAGTCTCCTTACAACCCACATTCCTTCCTTCCCAGGAATTGGGATTCCACCAAGGTGGACATGTAAAAACACCATTAGGAAAAAGATTGAAAAGGGAATTCTTTGCAAAGGCTTCCTTTTACTTCCATTGAAGAATGATTCAGGAATTGGGTGAGAAGCTATGGATGTCAATAAAGGAAGGTCCTGGATAAAAACGACTACAAAGGATGAGCCAATAAGCCCTTTCAAGAGGTTGGAGAAAGTTATCATTTTGGTTCACTTAAAATATGAAGGTCCCTCATTTGACAAAGACAATCTTGAGGAACCCTTTCCCCATTCACTCAGCGCGTTTCCTCAAGCATTTGACTCCCTTCTCAGATTGACACCCATGACACAGTATCTCAGACTGGAGATATCCTGGTGGATTACCGGGGACGTTGGGTCTACTTAAGGTGGGAATTGCTATTGGGTCTACCTGACTACAGGGACACAGTTGGAGGCTGGCTAGGTTTCCCGCGAGAAGCTGGTAAGCAAATCAACAGGGGCAGGCGGTTCCCAGAGAAGCAGTGACATCTGCATGCTGTCCCTTCCACTCACCTCCTTGAATGGGTGCTTGGACCACCCACCCAGGCCGGACCTACCTCCCGAGTAAACAGGATGGCCGCATCATAGTGCTCCTCATGGTCATCTCCCAGCTGGTTATGTTGATGCTGCCACTTACAAAAGTTCTTGAGTGTGGTGGCGGCGTTCTTGTTCACCTCCAGGCTCTTGTCCTTGTCCCCTAGCACCACCACCTTTACCACGGTCAGGCGGATATGGTTCTCTATGCTGGCATGGCTGTACAGCCGGTTGGCGATGGAGGCCAGGGTCAGCAGGTAATGCTGCAGGCCCCGGCCATACATTCGGGCCATGGACGCATCCGCCACCAGGAGCAGCTCCACCTGGCGGGCCCTGGAGATGGAGCGGCGCCGCCGCCTCCACCACGTCTGTGGTCCCTGAACCCCATCGGAGGAAGAAGGAGCCCTCCGGTCCTGGAAGTCCTGGGCCAGCGCCCAGCGTCGGTCCGGGCGGCCGCGTGCAGGGGGGCGTCCTGGCAGCCGCGGCCGGGAAGCGGGGGTCTCGCAGCTGGTGCGCGGCGGGAGGGCCTCGAAGCTGAAGCCCTCGCGGGTGTAGACGTGCAGGACCGGCGCGGATCCATCCCCATACACACGTTCGGCCTCTCCCTCCGCCCAGGGGCCGCGCAGCAGCGGCTTTAGCATGTAGCGTGCGTGCTTGACCGCGAAGAAGCCGTCGAGACCCCCGCACAGATCAAACACAGCCAGAGAACGGGGACTGCCGTCCACCGTGCCCCGGTAGAAGCAGTGGCCTCGGTGGCGCCGGCTCGCGCTCAGGCTGCCCTTTGCGGGAACCAAGCCAGCAGCGCCCACCGAGTCATCGCGTTCCAAGTCTAGGAGGAACCGCCGGCCGCCCGCGTAGACGAGGTAGCCCACTTTGCCGCCGCCCGAGTAGATTTGGTCGATGTTCTGCACAAGCCCGCGGCTCTTGCGCTGCAGCGCCCCGGGGTGCGGGTGTTGGGGAGGCTCGGCCGGTTCCGGCGCCTCCTCCCCCAGCGGCCGGCGGGGCTGGGCGGCCGCGGCAGCAGCCCGAGGCTGCCCGGCTTTATCCTGGGCAGGTGCCGCGGCGGGACTGGCCGCGACCAGGGGCAGGCGGAGCGCGCACAGCAGCAGGGACGCCCACCCGAGCAGCATAATGCGCTGCCCGCGGGGAGGGGCCGCGCGCCGGGGACTTTATGGGTATTTGTTATTCGCTCTGGAAGTTACCGGGGCGGGAGCTGGGGGCACACGTACACTGCTTGCAAGGTTGAGTCAAGTGTCGGAGGGAGGGGGACCAGCCACAGCGCCAGCCTCTCCCGGCCCAGGTGCCAGCGTGCGAACTTTTCTTTGTTGGTTTGAAAAAAATGTTTGGATTCGTGGTCCGGAAAGGCGGAAAAAAGAAAAAAGAAAAAAAGAAAAAAAAAAGCACAAAAAAGAGAAAAGCCGGGTCGTGGCGATTCAGCAAATACAGGAGAAGGTTAAAAACAAACAAACAAACAAACCAAAAAAAACCCAAACCAAACCGGCCCCAACGGCCACCCCGATCTCTGCACCAAAAAAAGTCGCCAAGTGCCGCGCACCCGGCGGGCGCCTGGCGCGCGCCGCCTCCCGCCCCCTGGCCGCTCGGGACCCGCCGGCTGCAGGTTTCAAGCTCCGGAGTAGCCCAGTTCTCGTCTTATTTTGTGGATTTCCTCGACTCCTCTGGAACCAGGAGGAAGAGAAGAGAGGGAAAAAGCCATAAAAATGAAAACCGAAATGCAGGGGGCGGCCTGCGGCGGGCCGGGGAAGCGGCGCGTCCGTGTCCCTCGGCTGCAGCGTCGTCCAGCCGCGGTCACCCCCAGTCGGCCGCTGCGAGCGCGGAGAGCAGCGCCAGCGCTGTGAAGATGCGAGGAGGTGGAACAATGAATTTATAGCGGCATGCCATCCTGCAATGGCAATTTCAACAATTCGTCACTGCAAGCTGCCTCTTAAAGGGAGAGCTTCCCCCACCACTCCCACCCGGCCCGCGCCTAATCAGACAGACGGGGTGGGGGGGGCGGGGGGAGTGATCGAGGAAAGGGAACCCGGGAATGAGGAAGGGACCCGGCGAGGTGGAAGGAGGGATGAGGGCGGGAGCAAGGGCGAGGGGGGAAGTTTTTGGGCAAGAAAACCAGAGGCTGCCTTGGCCGCATTGAAAGCCGCCGCGGCTCGGGGTTTGTCTGCCGTTTCACAACTGCTGGGGGTTGGCTAACCCTGCTTACCTCATCTCCTGAAGGAGTGTTCTGGTGTGTTTTTAAAGTTCCTGGGACATCTCAGGCTTCTCCTTGCCTACTTCTCTGCAGCGTTGCTTGGCTCCGGTAGGGAACTCTTCCTGCAAGTGTTTCTTCTTTGCACGTCGGTGCGCTCTGGCCTCGCAGACCTGGCACTCGCGCGCCCACGGAGGGCGTCCGGCTCCCCGCAGCCCTGTCGCCGCCTCGCCGCCGGCCGGGTACCGGGTTTCCTCCCGCCAGACTTCTCCAGCCTCTTCGCCCTCGGACGCTCGCCGGGCTCGGGCGCCGAGTGACTAACTTCTGCCAGCCACCGGCAGAGGGGCCGGGCAGCCTGGGAGCCCGCGGGTGCTTCCTGGCGCGACGCGGCGCCCCAAGTGTTGCGGTGCCCCAGGGCAAGACCTCCAGCGGCCTGGGCATCCTGCGCCCTGGTGTGCGAGCCGGCGCTCTCCCACTTTTCAAGCGCTGTGCAGTAGCTACCGCTGTCATCTAGTGCTAGATGACGAGAACTTTCTCTGCTGTAAGAGAGCAGGGCAGGAAAGAGTTAACTACTGGGGGAACTAAATTCATTAAAAAATAATAATTAAAAATTCGTGCGCACTGTTTTCTTATGCTAAAAGAACAGTTAAATGATGCCTGCACATACATTTGCCTTGATTTCTCCTAACACCTCCCTCCCCCCCCATCGCCCTAATGACCTCTCAGTGCCAGAAATTTCTTAGAAGAAAAGAACTTTTCTTAGGAGAAAAGAACTCTGGGTGCACAGGTTGATATTTATTGTCACCTGTGAGTGACACTGTTGCTGCCATTCGGCTTCTCCTTCTTTGCTTCCTCTGATCATGAACTCAAATTAAGAAGGAAACTCTGACCGCTTTGTACAATACTTGCAATGTTTAGGTTGAATGCAGAAACAAGAGTGTCCTTTCCGACAAGATGAGTCTGGGATGGCGAGCATATTTCTGTTTCTCATGTCTAATTTACAGGGAGTCTGAGCAAACAGGGGCCCCTCAGTAGCCCCTATGTCAGTGCTTTGCTCCTGGCTAAGTGATCTGACAGTTCTTGCTCTTTGCTGCAGGGAGCCTGGAGGGTCCTGGACTGCTCTGAGGTCCTCAGAGGGTCTGAACCTAGGCAGGACTTCCAGAATTGCTTGGTAGGAGGCACATTGCTCCCAGACTTCCCCTGGCACCCTTGGGGGTTCCTCTGGGAGTCTGAGCTTGTCCTGAGATGTAGTTGTCATTTACAAAGGAAATGGGGGTCTCCTGAATACACTGAGATAACTCAAGATTTGGGAGAAAATTGCTGTTGCTGAAGATCTCTTGACTTTCAATCCCACGGCTGCTCCTTTCTGGTCAGCTGCGAAGACTGTGCTACATTTTAAAGAACCAGAAAAGTTCTAAAGTTCTGACTATGAAGCAGAAGTATCTAGGTTCAGGAGTCCATTGACACTTCGAGTCTCCTGCAAGCCTAGTGGCGGCCATTCTGTGTCCAGGGGCCATTCTGTGTCCAGGGGCCATTCTATGTCCAGGGGCCATTGCCTGGTGCCTAGAAAGAGCAAAATCTATTTTATTTTATTTTTTTTATCTATTTCAGTAAAATGTATCTAAACCCCATCTTTAAAGCAACTGCGATTCAGTCATTTTATTATTTCTTTTTAAATATTTACATCATTCTTCATTTTTGTGCTTGTTTTCATTTTAGTTGTAATCCCGTGGACTTCCCATCACCAGTTCACCTGTGTGTCACCACCATAGTCCCGTGTGCTCTTCCCACCCCAGTTTTTGTCCCATTTCCCTCTCTACCCTCTCTCCACCCTGTAAAATGTCTGTCTCTGGCTTCTGGCTTATAGTTGTTCATTGTTTTTCATTTTTTCTTTATTACAAATTGTTTCCCCCCAACCTAGTCCCTTATGCTCATGCTATGAGTATTACCATTCAGTAATTTTCTTTTTCTTCCTGGCTTATTTCACTAAGCATGATCCCTTCCAGCTCCATCCATGTTGCTGCAAAAGGCATGGACTTACCTTTTTGATTGCTGAGTATTATTCCATTGTGTATATACACCACATCTTTTTAATCCAGCCACCTATCCGTGGGCATGTCTTCCCTAATATAAATAGAGCAGAAATAAACACAGGGTGTAGGTGTCCTTTTGAATCAATGTTTTAGTGTTCTTTGGGTAGATTCAGTCATTTTAATCATTTCATCATTGTTAAACTCAACATATCCTTTTGATAAGTGGGCTTAGTGGTTTTTACATTTACTAATTATAATTATTTGCAAGGAATTTCTTACTTAGCATTTAAGGAAGTTTCAACTAAGTTCTCATCTCAATAATTTTTCCTCCTCTATCAGTCTCTCATCAATCATGCTTCTAAATTTTATGTCTTTAAATTTAACTATATGATGACATTTGTGCTCAGATTATTCCAATATTTAGAAACATGTCAAAGAATGAAACAGATACTCCCCAATCCCAATTGTGAATATAAAAAACTAAATAATTATTTGAATCACATATTCATAAAAAATGAACTAATGTAGTTTATTAGTATAATAAGTACCTTCTCAAATATTTAAGCATTTCTACTTGGATATCATTTCTTTTTTCTGTGAGAATAACTTGCATATTTTAGAGATTCATTTGTTATTACTTCTTAAACATTACCCTAGTGGATTAAGATGAACTTTTATGTTCTAGATAAAATATGTTCTGTCAGCTTTAGACCAGAATTTGCTTTGGATGCAAGTAGATACAGTTTTATTTATTTATTTATTTATTACAGAAAGATAAAATACATGAGAAATCACATTTAGGTAGATTAATTGCTATGTCACGGACTGTATTATTCCAAGTAACTATTTTATTTGTGCATATTTAATAACAATTTCCACCACATTTATAGAACATGTGATCACAAATATACCTGATAATTTTACATTCCCCTAAAGGAGAAGAGACTGGTGCCCCCAGAATGTTACACTTGGAAGTTATCATGAGGATGATTTAAGGCAACTTCTTCCACCTCAATTACAAACTGAGAGTAGAGATTAAGGATATACTTGCCTGTGGTTAAAAAACCAAGGTCAGCCCTCCTGAAGCCTCAGGCTCCTTACTCATCTAATGCTCCATCTCTAACACCTCTTAAAATCTATCCAGTTTACCAAATATCTGTCAAGGGCCCACTGCAAAGTGTTCAGTAAGGGTCTCTGGAGACCTACACAGATAAATAAGCCCTGATTAGTATCCAAAGAAGCTCACAGTTCAGAGGTATAGCCAACTGGAGCAAACTCTACTAGAGATACAAGCAGGAAAATGAGAGAGAGAGAGAGAGAGACTTCTGCCTATGTTTATGTTTTTCCATAGGATGGTATATCCTTGTGCATGGTGCTGACTCAAAATTCCATTTCGTAAATTGACTATTGACTTTCTTCCTCCCCTCCCATATGTGAGTTATTATTTTTTAAGACTTATTTATTTTTGCATACAGAACTGGGGTACAGGCCAGAGATGCAGGGGAGTGAGAGGATTCACCAGAGACATTGGGGAGCAGAATAGGCAGATGGGCAGAGTACACTGCTGAAGGGAGCAGCTGGTGAACAGGAGAGGTCTGCTGCACCATGTGGGTCAGCTCTGGGGCGGGGATTGAACTTGCACTGAAGCAGCCATGGCTTCGCTTAGCTTCGCGATGCAGCACTCCAACCCACTGCGACACCAGGGAGGGTCCCCATAGGTGAATTTAATGGTAAGCTTGAAGAAGTGACACTAAAATGTCTCCCTCCAGCCAATCACCTGCCCCTCTGCCCTCTTCTCAGAGAAGTCTCTGGACTCCCATTTTCTATTTTCCCTTTGCTACATGACAATTCCCACCCTGCTGTATTTTGAGCTTTTAGTTTGCCATCCCTCAGAGGTGGCAGGATAGTGGATGCTGAAATAGTCACTCCTTGCTGCCAGAGGCTTTTCACGAAAGCCTTGAACAGTGGGCTAGCCTTTTCTCTCTTTCTTTCTTTTAAGATTTATCTATTCATGCACATAGAACTGAGGTAGTTCAGGGGTGGTGTGCAAGGGTAGTGAGAGGATTCACTAGAGACAGAGTGGAGAGCAGAACAGGCCAACTGACGAAGTACACGGCTGAGGGGAGCAGCGGGCGGGTCAGCAGAGGTCTACCTTGCGATATGGGTCACTTCTGGGGCAGGGATCCAATTCACACTGAAGTGGCTTTAGCTTCTCAGTGCTGTGCCACCAAGGAGGGCCCTGGGCCAGCCTTATACCAGTATTCCTTGGGTTTTGCAAATTTGAGTTCTCAGAAGACCTCCTGCAAAGCCAAAGTTTATTTCAGATCCTTCATCTGAGTGCAATCCAGGAGTATTTGCTCTTCTGTCACTGGCTTCTTCCCCTTAGTCTGATGCCCTCCTGGTTTACCCTACTGCTGCTGAGAAAATAGTCCAACTGATAGAAGCAGAGGGGAGACTGGTGGTGGCCAGGTATCCAGGAAGGAGGGAATGGGAGTGGCTTTTTCCCAGAGACAATGTTACAGGAATGTGAGGCGAATGTAGTCTAGAGATCTGCGATACAGCATCGCCCAGCATAAAAATACTCTGGTACACTTAACATTTATCAAGGACCAGGCCTCCTTGGTGGTGCAAGGAGTTAAACACAGCACTATGAAA